TGCTATCAAATTGCGAATGGTATGCAGCAAAGGATCCAACTTAAGAATATAACTACTTCAATGTTCCGGTTTTGAATCTCCGACCTTGAGTAGAGTATTAGCAGCTTATTTAGAGGAGATTTCTACAACTCGTTTTTTCAATTGACAGAATGACTACTCATTCTCTCAGTTCTTTCATTTTGAACTCAGATTTTCGAGGGTAGTTTTCGCGAACGTCAAAAAGTTTATGGGGAAACGACCAAAATGTCAAATGGCATTTTTGATGACGTGACTTTACAACAAAAATAGGGCTCCAATGGATGATTATTCAGAAGAGCTTCTTGAAACCAGCTCTTTCGGTTGTTCCCTTAATTCTAGATTTTGGAATATATTGTTTTTTTGAAAAGTTAAAAAAATAACCATGTCAAAACATGCCCATTTTCAGGCCGTTATTTTTAGAAACGAAGATATTGAAAACGAAGTCGCTAATGCAAGAGAAGTCCCTATGACATGTTATTTCAATTAAACCTTTAATCTAAGATTAGTGCGGAGGTTTCATGAATCGTTCAATATTTTTCGAGAAAAACTTCAATTTCTGAAAAAAGGGCGAAAAAAACGTGCAGCAAAAAACAACCAATTCCTAAAAACTTAATCAAAGCATTTTTACACAGAGGTGAAGCTTCTTTAAAATCAAATGTCAAAGCAAATTAAAATGTACTGCTTATGCAGTCTGTTATATCAAAATTGCCATCAAAAGTAGCAATATCATTTGCGACTTAGGTTGGAAAAAAAGTTGCATCGTACGATCACACAAAGCTACGATCATATAATCAAACAGGAACTAACATTTGCCATCAAAAAGGAACTTTGTATTCGGGTGTCTTTTTTTGTTTTCCACGCAAAATCAGGTTCAACAAATAATCATCGGAATGAGTTCAGCGATATATCATAAAAAAACCATTTCAGGTCCTGATTCCAAGGACGATGAAAAAAAAGGTCGAGAAAAATCAGTTGAAAATTTTCGGTTTTTCGTCTTAATTTCGACCGAATGAAGTTACGATTTTAAGTTAAAATGGTCATTTAGGCTGAAAAGATTAACTGGAAACTAGTTTTGAAAGTTATATTTGGCGCTTCATTAGCAGAACTTAATTAGAAAAATATTTCTAAAAAAACTGTTGAAAGAAAAAAACGTTTATTTCCAGTTAAATTTTTCTATTTATTTTTCCGTTTTTTGTCGATTTTCATTTACTTTTTTTACGCGTGGGTATAGTTTTATCATCACACCACCACGAGAAAAAAAAACGAGACTAAATTAGTGAACTTAATAATTTGAAAAGTTATATTGGCGAAATGGAGCTACGCAACTCTTGCGACACAACAATCATAAAAAATGAAAAGAAAAAGATGAAAAACATCTGGGGCGCAGCTAAAGTTGAACTACGTGATTGAATGCGAAACTGCACTTTGCCCAAAACTTAAGTTGTTTCTCTACTAAAGTAAATGAGAAGTGTGAAAAATGAGATTTTGGAATTTTCCCACAAACAAACCATTTCTCTTACAAAAAAAACAATAAAAAGTAGCTACTTAAGCAAGCAAATTGGTGCAACCGCTTGTTTCGATTGAACGTTTCATCTCAGATTTGATAGCATCGTTTTAAATGATTTTCGAGTAAGGTCAAAAAAACGGTCATGTTTCAAAACTTTGACTTAATTGAAGGTAACAACTTTTTTCAAAAGAAATTGGGCGTAACAAATTACAAAAGTAAGCTTCCACACAGAGGCGAAGCTGCGCTTCGCAAACAATTGCGAGAACACGACCAAAAAGCAGCTCTATCAAGTGGATTAAGAAATAGTAAAAATAAGCCTCGAGTAAGTAAAAACTCGGCTACGTGTAGGATTCGAATCGGCGACCTTGCAACTTTGAGTTTCACGCACTGGCCACTAAGCCACGGATGCCTAAACTCCCCGCAAACTAGCCACTAATAACCAAGCTACATATGCTAATAAATTGCCAATTCGATACCGCAAAAGTGGCACCAAATAAGAAAAAAAAACACAATTTTGCATGTAAAAAATTCGAAAGTATAAAGTCAAACTAGCGTTTAACGCACCTTCGGTGCTTCGAAATTTTTCGCCAGCTCATGAAAAACCGCGTAAATTGGAAACAACATCGGCAAACTTTAAGTGTACCCAGAAATTACAAAACAACTTTCAATTAGAGTACTAAATGTTTAAATCTAAAAATATCTTTGATAATTCGGCTGCTAAAGAAGTAAAAAAAAACGGAAAATGAAAAAAAACTTCAATTTTTTCGTAAGATAATTTGAAAAAATATATTTTCTAAGGCAAAACAAAACTACTAAATTCTAACATGAAAGTGACTGCAGCAGCATTTGAAAGTAGCAGCACATGAAAGTAAATGAACGTTTGTCAGAAAAGTTTTTAATCGGAAAAACTTCTAGTTCCCGGTTACAAGTACACTTGCTCTCACAACTAAAATAAACGAACGAGAATTCTACTGTTGCCGGCACTTGAAACTAACTACAGCAGCATTTGAAAGTAGCAGCACTTCAAAGTAACTCCACATTTGTAAGAAGAATTATTAACGGAAAAAAAAGATTCACGATCTTCAAAGTGCACAAAAACATTAAATTTGCGTGTAATAATTTGAATATAGTAAACTATAGCCATCCACACTAACTTTACATGTAACAAAACATAGCCAACTGACAGTTGGAAAACAGAAATGAACAATAGCAAACAGAAAAAACACTTTGTGAAAAAATCTCAACTGTCAAATTTCAAAAAAAAAAAATAGATGCCATTTATGCTCTGAGAATCTAGAACAATTTATGATTAGTGCTTTTTTGCTAATATGAACCCAACTAGAGAAAACTGGATCAATAGGTAATCTTTTTATTCCCCTGGAAATCTAAATTTTAAATTCTATTTTCGAAACTAGAAATGGTTCGCGTTTTTTGCGCCATTTCCACGTTTATGTTTAGAGAGCGCTATTAACTTAAATTTTTGCAGATGAAAATCAATTGAACTCAAAAAATGCATATAAACCTAAGTGCATTCATAAATGCATGAAAATGTATGAATGCAAATTTGAAGTTATTAGAGTATTTTAAGACATTTTCCAGGAAAAAAATATCATCAAGATCTAAATAAGAGTTTTCAGTCCGTTCATCACACTTAATTAGAAAGTATTAAAATTGTGTATCAATTATGCATTTTAAAAACCTCGCGAAATATTTCGAGCAGGAAAATTTGCGAAAGGAGATTTTAATTGCTACACTGTTGTATGAAGCTTTTTCGGTTCAATTGATGAATTAAAAATGCATCAACTGTGTTATTTTTTTAACAAATCAAATTTTAAAGCACATATGACACTATACTGCTACGGCAGTCAACCGATTCAAAAAAGCCACTTAAAGTAGCACTTTTATGGCGACTTATGTTGAAAAAAAAAGAAGGTTCTTACTTATACACTCGTTTCGCAGGTGTAAACAACCTGTTGTGTCGATTAAACCTGAGATTAAACTGTCAGCAAATCAATAAGTTGACGTTTCCGAGAAGGGCAGCTTTTCTTTCAAAAAATTTGTGCGTAACCATTTATGCAGAAGAGTTTCGCCCAACCTGTAAGGGCGCACGCAGGATAGTTCTCGAGAAAAGTCAGAAACTTTCAAAAAACGGTCAAAAAATCTAAATTTAGACTTTTCCGAGAGCCATATTTTTGTGTAAAAAAATTGATCGTAGTCGCTTATGCAAAAGAGCTTTCCTTAATTCGTTTTATGGCTTGAACATATCAGATACAGGAGCGTATTTTTTGGTAAAATTCAAAAAATTCAGAAAACGCTCAAAAAACACAATTGACTTTTCCGAGGACGATAACTTTTTGAACAGAAAACTTAGTGAGTGACCTTTTATGCAGAAGAGATCGCTCAACCTGTAATTTCGATTGAACCTAAAAACCCAGGTTTGGCAGGGTAGTTCTCGAGAATAATCAAGATTGAAAAAAAAACGTTCAAAAAAATGAAAATTGTCCGTAGGGGAGCTTTCGAAATCCGCTCAAATTATTGAAACAGAAATCTCAGATTTGGTAGGTTAATTTTTGAGAAAACAAAAAAAGTCAAAAATATCGGTCAAATATTCCCCCCACACTCTTTTACGAACGCTGTAGACAAAGTCGTAAAGAAAAAGAGACCAGGCGAGTATGCAGACACAAAAGTAAAGCTGGTTTTTCTATGGATACCCATTTTTGAAAATCGCTAAAAGTTTTTGAGAAAAAAAATTTTGCGAAAAGTGATAAAATTTCCGAAAGCTTCTCGAAAATAAAATAAAAGATCCAGTCCCAAACATTTTCATAATACCTGTTTTTATCGAACAGGAACTCCAGGCAAACATGCCAAGCAAGACATCTGAAATTGAATTAGAAACTGAACAATATTACGAAGGGGAAGCAAGGCCGACAATCTTTGAACAAACACCAATTGAGCCGAAAACAAAACTGATTTTGTACAAAAACTTTAAAAAGTTTCATGTCCCCCTGAAATTACCCTGTAGTAACATTACTTATCCAGTAGTTATTAATAACTTAGTACCCACCCAGCTAGTACCCACCCTTGATTTTGTTTAACTAGTTGTTAGCCCGAAAAAAAGTCTACACTCCGATTTGATAACGCTTGCTAATCGGAAGCTTAATGAACATGTTCGGAACATTCTGTGCTACTTGCAGCAACCGACTATCCTTCTTATGTATGGAAACATACCAAAATTGCAAACAAATGAGCACTTTTATTTGAGACTTAGGTTGGAAAAAAAGTTATTTCGTAGTATTACACAACGCTCCGCTTCCGTATAATCCGAAACCAGTTTCCCGAAAAAAATCATTGGTAATTGACAAGTTACAAAAGGTCTTTTAATACTAGTTAAAGCTGTTTAAATCAGAAGAAAGTTCTATGGTTTGGAAATACGGTCATTATAGGCCTAACTATTATATGCCTGATGTTTGCTTACCTGGAACCAAAGGAGCATAGCCTCCATTGTACTCTAGCGGAACCATCCTCGCTGGCGGTCTCAACTCAGGCTCAGGTGGGTAGTATTCGGGAATGCGAGGTATATCAGTCTCATAGCGTCGAGCCAACATAATTGGCGGAGGGCTTCGTCGTCTCGGTGGCACATTATGGCTCGATCTATGAGATGGATATGGCTCTCTGTCTCGGCTGCGCGATCTCCGTCTCTCGCTTCGACCTGAATGTCTTTCCATGTATCTTTCCACTTCGTTGAACGAGCAGCGAAACACCTCTATATACCTACATTAATAAGTAGTTCAATTTTCTTATGTGACCGGAAAATTTAAAATATTAATTACACATGATATTCTTGTATTTTGTGAAAACCTCGTCCATCTAACATTCATTTCCAGCCTCAGCCAAGCACAGACTCCTGTCACAAAATCGTAGCTAGAATAATTGCAACAACAGAAAATCATGGGCTATTACTCCACTAAAGCCGTCCAAATACCAGAAACCTGCCTTTTCCATCTCAGTGCCAGACCAGCATCAGTAAATTATTGATTTACTATTATTATTTGTAATAATAACATTGATAATAAAAACCCTTTTCTGATTCCTCCAAATGACTGCAACAACCTGCATCATCCAGAACCAGGTTTGATACCACTAACTCGACATCCACTCACCTGGATCCAATGTTCTTTCTGTGTTTCTTCAGAGCATTTTGCACGTCTTCCTCAGTGGCTAATTCCACGAATGCGTCCCCGTTGCATGTGGATCCCCTGCGAGATCCCTCACTCGTAGGCGGACCGAACAGAATACCGTCTTGCAACACATCACAACCTTCGCAACACACCACCCCTTCACATACCAGAAACCAAACCCTAACCAAATTTTCATTTCAACGATAAACTCTTTACATATATCATTTGTCAGCCTAGGTATTTAAACAACAGCCCCTTTCAATAGCTTTCCAGCCTGTAAACTCACTGGTTATTTCAAATTGGAAACTACAGGTTTATGCTAAATTTGAGCTAAACCAGAAAAAAAATCACCTCAATATCAATAAAACTAGCAGCCCATGATCTAAAAATCAGACTTCTTTCGCTGTTTCAAACAACCGAAGCCATCTTTACACACTCCAAAATCTTTTCCATCATTCCACCATGGCGTTCCAAAGTACCTGAAAGAAACGCTTTAAGCTCCGCTTCTTTGACCATAAATGGAAGTCCCCTTAGCTGCACGAAGTTGTTTTGGGTTGAAGACCTGCCGCCCCCTCCTCCTCCTCCTCCGCTGGATTGTCTGCCGCCTCCCGACATCCTACCGGAAGCCGCCGAAACCCTGTCCCCTCCACCACCCGCAACTCGGTCTCTCTCGGCGCCCGTACTGCGAAACACTAGAAACAAAAGCCACAATTCAGCATCTCATGCATTGGCACCTTTCGTTTTCTTGTAGTACCACTCATAAGACACGGATTACCTGGAATTTAAATTACAAGTTACGCACGCAAAAAAAACGTAGTGAAAACTTTGAGATACATCTCCTTCCTAATTATTTCGACTATCAATCTCCGGTCCATTTCCTAAACGAACGATCAGGTAATCAAAAAAGCTCTATTGACGTCGCCAGAATTTTAATTAAAACCCTATCCAATCCACAAAACTGTTTCCATGACTAAAATCAAACTAAATTTCCGCCAGTAATTTGACGAAGGCCCAGATAAATTTACCTTCAACGTATCGAGAGCCGATATGTTTGCGATGTTTCTTTATTGCTTCATCCACCTCTTTCTCATTTCGAAGACTAACGAGACAGTCTCCAGTAAATTTTCCCCTCTGAAATAATTTCTCGATCTGAGACGCCTTCACGTCCACATCGGCTGAAACATAAGAGAGTAACGCTATCATATTTCCTCGAGACATTGACAGGGTCAAAATACAAAGTTAACTCCAACTTGAAATTGTTTCGACAAAGCATTGTGGTCGAAGGCTCTATTAAGGATGAAAAATGCTCGAATATGAGTCATATGTTCAAGTTCAACGGTATCGTTAAGACGAGCACTAAAATTTATCATCGCAAGTTAACAGGGGGTTCAGTTGGTTCTCGATTTACCGTCTTTTTTTGAAACAATAAGTTTGACTATCCGCAGAATCTTGAGACAACGAAATCTGAAAAAAGAGACATTAAAAATCTTACGCGAAAGAAAATCGACAATCTCATTATCTGTCACTGAAAAAGGCAAGCCTTTCAAAACAACCACACACTGAGTTGAGTTATCTTTTTCAGAGCGCTTCCTAGTATTATCACTCTCCTCTATATCGTAAGAAATAGTCCTGCTCATTCTTTCTTCTGATAGAGCTGCACCAGATTCCAGAAAATCATTGTCCATTTTGATTCTGAAAAAAAAAACCAAATAACAAGTCGAGTTACGCCAGGTTCGTGTTTCATGCCATGGAGACAGCAAAATAGCCACAAACGTTTAAATTCTTAGGCAATATTTTAATTTATTTATATAAAATCTAAATTTTCAAATTTGTCTGCAAAACGTGGGTAACTGAAATTGAGTTCAACATTGATGTCTACGCCCTTCCTCTTCTACAAGCGAAATAACGTAGTTTTCGACAATTTTTAGTAAAAACAACTTGAAGTTCATCTTCTGAACAAGTTCCATCCTCTCTTTCGTGCGAGATACAACGTGATAAGCGACAGAGCTAAAGCACCGGTTGTTGCAAGGATGACATTGGAGGCAGTGAACATACTATTGTTTGAGGATGAGGGTGATGTTAAAAGCGAATTAGTTTGGATTGCTGAGGTGGCTCGTGCCAGTGCCTTTCGCTCGGCGTCCTGCTCGACCAACAGTTGGCAGGTATTTCCTGTTCGTAGAAACAGAGAGACTGCTTCGTTGTGCGTGACGTTGCGAACTGAGACACCGTCAATTTCTAGGATCCGATCTCCTTCCTAATTTCAAAACAAAATATTTAGCGCATCGGCTTCCTTCAAAAAACCCTGAGGCTTAAATCATAGCTTTTTATTTAGCACATCAACAAAAAATAAAACCTCAGCAATCGAACTTTTGGAACCACTTGCGATCTAACCCAAAACAGATCATGACAAGCTAGCTGACATAACATAAGACGAAAGCCAAAAAGTATAAATAAAAGTTATCAAAAACGTCGGTCGAACAAAAAATTAACAGCAAAACTTAGTCTCAAAAGTTTTATTAAAGAAAAACATGCCAAATAACACAATAGAATGTTATTTAGCATTGAAACAAAACTTGCGAAGCGGTAAAAAAAATCGAAAATTCTTAAGTAAACATCCGTTGAGTTGAAAAAAAATATATATATATATATATTTCAAAAAAAACTATCAAACAACGCAAAATGAGCCATTAAGCCATTATATCAATATGAACCCAGGCGAAGCTGTAACTCACAGGCACAAGCAAGAAGACGGCAAAACTTAGAAAAATCTGCTATATGCTGCAATCGAACATCCCAGTTGGATATTAGGATATTATTGCAAAGAAGCAACCAAACCAGAATAAAACCACCGACCTCGAAACAAGGAGTCATGTCCTAGCGTCTGGGACAAAGTAACTCGATATTATACAAACACTAGCCACCAATCAAACAGCTACATATTCTTCTAAGTTGTCATTGCTTGGAAATTTACCAAAAGTGCCACCAAATGAGCACTTTTATTTTCGATTTGTGTAGCAAGAAAGTGGAGTTCGTTATGACACTACGCTTCGCTGGTGTCAATAAGCAAGAAAATTTTAGGCCGAAATAAACAAAATAACAAGGAAATTAAACTAATCGAAAAGGGTAAATCAACCACTCACAAGAAACTTCGAAAATAATGGGTATTTAAACAGCAGAAAAGCTCAAAATGTGTCTGTTAGAAGAATACATACACGGATACACCCCAAAGCTAGGGTCCTATGTATTAAGATTGTCTTTAGTTTTCCATGCATTAAGATTGGTTATATGTTCTCTGTATTAAGATTGGTTATAGGTTGTCAGTGCGGTGTTCTTTAAAAAAATTAAAATTATTTCTACCGTGAATGCATCACTCCAATTGGACAAAAAAAAACATTCTTCCCTTTTTAGTTTTTACTATTGGCAGTTATTCACTTCACCTCTACAAATTCAGTCAGTCTATAAACTTCAGCAGCTTTACTTTCTCTTTCTTGCCTAAAAACTTCAGTCATTTTTGTTCTCAGCACTTTTCTCAGCCCTAATCTTCAGCAAACTTTCATCTAGTTCTTCTTGAAATTACGGTTCTCTTCAGCTCTACAACTTCAGTCAGACAATAAACCTTATTTTCTCTTGCTCAACACCTTCTCGCCTAAAAATTTCAGTCATTTTCTTTATCTCAGCTCTTTTCTCATCAATATTTTTCAACAAAATTTCATCTAGTTCTACTGAAAATTACGCTCTTTAAAAACTTCAACTTAAAAAATTTCCTAAAATTACACTAAAATGCCCCAATTCTAGCTGAAAATTTCATGCAACAAATGTCTGGGTTATTCAATACACTAATACAATCAACACAGCAACCTAGCAGTCAAGACCGGGCTCAAATGCATACGGCTGTCAGCTTGTTCCTGGCTGGGCTAACGGACCCAAAAGAATTGATTGAGAGCCTGGATTACAGCCGTTTGATTCTCGACGAAATCGAGGAAGAATTGACGGCTGAAGCAGATAACGGAGAGAAAACAACGACCGACATTGAGATGGAGGTGGTTGAAAGTTGCTCGCCAGAGCATCTAGAGAGCCTGTTAGGCGGAATGACGGAAGCGACGAAGAAGGAGTGTAGGCTGCATACCCAGAAAGTGGACATCCACCGTGAACTTGCGGTCACGGAGTCTTCAGCGGTATATACATTTTCTTTTCAGTTGACTCTGACACCTCGTTTTTTTCTCACTAAAACCAAATTCTTGTTTGGCTTTAGTTTACAAAAACGCAGAAAAAAAATGGAGAGTTATGTTCGAATGGGTTCAGAGGAGGAGGAAAAGGAGAAGGAGCCACAGCTTGTTCCGTCAACTGCGGAAGATTTGAAAGGCCTCAAAGTGAATAAATTAATCGGCCATCTTTATTCTACAAAGAACAAAGAGGCGAGTGAATCGAATCAGCAAGGCATTCTTGAAGGAATAATAGTACTCAATACGCGATCGGGTTAAATCAGACGAAGAACTTGAAAAATTTTTGATGAACAACAAAAATACGTACGCCAGAACACGAAGTAGTCAACTGATTCGGCTCTATCGACTGGTTGAGAAGTTTTCTCTGCTCGAAAAAGTAGATATTGGCTTCAAGCCTTCCGAGTTACTCAACAAGTTGTCGGCTATAAAAGAGGTTTGCAAAACCAAACCAGAGTTGTGGGCAGACGATGCCACTTTGATCGATAGCAGCAGTGACGAGTAGAGCAGCAGTAGTGAAGGTGGCGAGCAATGAAAATCTAAAACAATCATAGATCAACAGTGTGATGGTCTATAGCCATCATTACCCATATAACCTCAAAGCTGTCAGTCCATTTCAACCTTAAAAATATTTGCTGCCAATATTTATCATAAATGTTTACGGTCTTATCTGGTGCTTAATCTACTTTAGCTGACTACATATATATTTACACCGGATCTTTAATAAGGCTGAAGATTGACTTTATGTATAGCACAGATAGGAGCTTAGAACAAATCAGACACAGAGAGAGCCAAATAGCAATTCAATAACCAGTTGAAACTCCTGTTTTGATAAAATCCTGAGTTACCACGTTTCGAAGACAATATCGTCTTGGCCCCTGCAACTAAATACTTCTCAGTAAAAACGAGAATGCTTTCATATAGCTGAATTGGTACAGAACACCGCCAGCCTTGATAGAATAGACTAATCCCAATAGTTCACAAGACAACACTATGACTAAAGCACCTTGTAATAAACAGCTTTATTCAAAAGATTTTTATCGTAACATACGTATTCTCTTCAAATTTGACACAAAATTACTAGTGACGAACTGTATTATATTGTCTTGTGAAACAAAGTTAATTAAAGTAGCCTTTCCATTCATTTTTCAATGAATACAATGAGCCATAAACAAACAATATGAACCACAAAATGAATTAGTCGGTTAAGGAAGCAAATATTTGTTTTATTTGGCATCGAGTTTGTAAAGCAGCTCTCTTGTAGATTGAGGGAAACCACACTTGAATCGGTCTGTTGAAACTGTCATAAAAATATGTAATTGAAGCTAACAAAAGCCAGTTGAAGCTAACAAAAGCCAATGTTTGCCCAGCATACCTATAAGTTGCGTCTTAATAGCGAAATTCTTTGAAATTTTTGGAAACATATCCGAGAGGAAACATCCTAGAAATCTGAATGATAATTGAGGATGTAAAGAACACAATTTGCTCATTTCAAAAATGTCAACCATTGTACTTGAAATTTTTTGATGATCTCGCCGTTGCGATCAATTAATAGGACTGATCGACGTTCGCCGATTAGAATCACGCGAATAGGTTTATCAGTTATTTTTTCAAATTTCAATTCAACGCCCAACCGGGCACCAGTAAGTTCTGGACGATTACCGCTCTCACCCAAGTGCAAATCGCTCGTAAGAGTGAACACTGGGTTAACGTTGTTGCGGAAATTAGACATATTGATAAAGTTACCGCCTTGAACGAATCCGAGTGATCTCATTGTTGTCGAATAAATTTGTACATGACTTTTCCCTAAGTCGATAGGCGTTCCTCCTACAGAATTTCCCTCGCGAATTACTCGAATTGTCCACAAGTCGAGATCTTCAAAATTGAAGGGATTTGTTGCATAGCTTCCGGTAAAAATTTCTTCAGGCACCATAGATAATTGTAAACGACTTATCGGCGCTCGGTTGAAAATGTCGTCTCTAAAATAAACACTAGTTCCGCTTGGAATGAGAAAAGACGCTGCGACAACTTCTTTAAACTCGCATTCGGCCACTTTTCTATTAAGAGCGCGGTCAATGGATAAGTGAGTTTCTTGTCTAAATTCCAGCATGTGAACTAGGCAAGTAGCATTCACAATTTTTACTCTAAAAATTTGAGGCTTACAATTTGTTGAACTTTTCAACAATATGAATTGATTCGTGACTCGAGTTAACCGAAGGCGTACTTCAACCCCAGGTAGTAGATATTTGTCAATTCCGGTCAAGAATGCATCGTTGAGTCGGAAATGATATCTCCAATTTCGTCCTGATTTTACAAATTCGTATCGATTTCTAAAATAAGGCTTTCGTAGCCTTGGCATGCCAAAAAAACCCTGTTTGTATTGGGCATCGCTAGACAAATTTACTTCCAAAAGTGCCTTGTAAGGATGTAGATTGTTAGATGATGATACTACAGTTCCATTCAAACTCACTTCTACATTTTGCTAAATGCTCTAAGCTAGATTATTGACAAAATAGGCTTTTCCGTTTTAATAGGAGTAGTGTTGTCGACAACCGCTTCCGCGTCTTCTTCTTTCTCTGCTTCAGAGGATCTTGTCCCTCTCCCAATCATCTGGAGCTCAAGTCCAAATATACATTTTTCGTCTCAATAACAGTCCCGCAAACATCGGTCTTTGACCCCGTAAATTCAAATTCTATGAATGGTGCATACGCATTTGCGGAGGAAAGACGCGCTCGTCATATCCTCACTGAAAGTCTACGAGAACTTGACCACTTGAAAACAGATCAAGAGCTGAATGAGTTACCGATGTTGGGGGCTCAGATCTGACAAAAGAATTGGACGACACAAAAGAAGTGGACTATGGGCAACTATGCGATTGGAATGATAATTAATATCCATCCATCAAGTATTCGAAAGAGACAGACAGACAGACGGATGCTCGATTGTCCACGACTGAATTATAAAGCAATATAAAATCAAATGAATGAGTGAATAAAGATATGCTTTTGGTTGATTGCCACCTGGTGGCGAGGTC